ATTAGCCTTTTCCTGCAGCTATTCGCGCAATGTATCGCATTGACTTCGTACCTTGTCCCGATGGAACCCCGGGATTTGCGTCGCAATCACACATAGGCGTCCTTTTTACTCTGGCTTATAAGGGTTGCCTAGATATCAGTGCATCGAGCCAAGTTATCCACCGGTCTGTATGTGGTCTCTGGCCGGAAGCAGAGCTGGAATTTAATATTCGATCCCCACGGACGTCTGTGCGACTATCTAAATTGTGAATTTCTGAGACCTCCAGCTCATTTTATATGATAGAATTCCTTCAATTGTCATTATATCTTGGTCGATCATACTTGGTACCCCTGCTATCAGCGCGGTTGGCACTGTTTCAGCAATGTAGGGGGTGGCAGTCGACTACTTTCAAACTTGTCGGTACACGTTGCCATCCCTCAAGATACATAAAGGAACCCTCTCCGTTTCACAGGTTGTTTACTATTACTGAACAACTATGTGGTCTTACCTGTCTGCTTCAGTACCCGACTAACATACGACATAGCATCTCGCCATGCAGAGACCTTTCGGCCGTCAATTTACTACAAAATATGAAGAAGTTTAACAATCATGGGCTACTATGTCACCTCGAATGCCATGCTTACATGCTGGCCTAGCTGCTTTTTGTCCAGCGCCTCCGTGGCTGTCGGATAATTGGATAGCTCTTAACAATTTCGACTGCGAGTAGTTGTGAACTGGCATTAAAAGGGCTATCAAGGCGCGAAAGACTGCAACCTGCGCATGGTGACTGTAAACTGGATGCCACAAAACACGATGATAACACTTGTTTAGTCGGAGGACGTCGTGGCACAGCATGCAATAGCTATACAGATCTGATAGACTCGATATAGGGAAGCTGACCTTAACCTTCCAGTCATATGTTATACTCATGACTAGTAAATCCACAGAGAACAGACTTAATCTCTCGCTGCAGTGCGACAACGCTATTGGTGGCTCGGCATATGAAGCAACGTTGATTATCCTTGTTGTAAATGTGGCCAAAGCTGCGATATCGCCATCTACGTTACGCTTTGTGTGAGCCCCCAAGAAAGAACACAACAAGAAGATCGCACTTAATTCAAGCGACCCCATGTACAAGATTGGACCAATGAGATTGTGGTCTCAAAAAAGGCGTGACTTTGTAGGCTTTGTGACTCCTGCAGCTGGCGTGTTGGAGTCCTGAGCTTGGGCACAGCTACGCGCGCCATCACGTGCACTTTGTGTGGGCGGACCGGTCGTTTGTTGTGGGAACGACTCGTTAGGGCGGCGTGCACTCGCAGTTAAACTGGGCCCTCACAATCCTTACTAAACATGCTGTGTGTTGTGGAGCAAATATCCCATGCTGCTCCCGAGACCTATGACAAAATATTCCTTAACCAATATATTATTGTGGACGCAATAGAACCACTCTTTAGTACACGAAAAGTCAGTCGCTTTGTCCTGTAAATTTTCGATTCTTTTTCCAACGAACATAGTCTCACTACGGCTGCCAACATTTGGATAATCCATTGTGGATGCTAACGTAGCATCCACATTGAAGAGGACATCGCTTTCGAAGGCCATCTTTTGTGCGGCCTTTTTCTAACCTCCCATGCCTCATAAAAACGCACTCCGTCGCCTTCCACCCATCAAAAGAATCGAACAGAGGCAAAATCCTGCTGGCATTTTTATGTTATCCTATTCGATCATTCTCATACAGATTCTTCGACTGACCTGTTCTAGCGCTACCACAACGTCGATCTTTCCACTGTTTACGCGATTCTCTACCACTGTAACCTGTAGCTGCTCTGTAAGCTCTCTCAGACAAAACCTTCTCAGGAACCTGCCAAAATCGCTGCATTACATTTACTTGAATCTCCCTCGCAGCTGTAGGTTACCCACGCGAACCCAATCATATATTGCGACAATCGAGCGCACAGTGCACAATACATACCAGGCGTACGGTTGTAGCTTCTAGTCGTTACAACATCCGAGTTCCATTGCTCCAGGCCATACATCGCCCTTTGTCCCCCCCTCCCGCCCCAACTGTGGCAACGGCGTTCCATTAGAGCACGATCTTCTGGCTCGAATGCCTTAGGCCTCACTCTATAAACTCCAACCTGTCTACCCAAACCTCAGATGCCACCCATTCGCCTTGAATTGTTTACTTTTTTGTTATTATATTCTTTGGCTATCAAGTAATTCCGTTATTTTGTTGTTATACGTGATATGTAGGGTGCACTTTATGATGCTTTGATGTATACTTAACTGAGTCCTTTTTATATAGGTCATCAACGAGCATGCCGCACGCAATTACGATCGAGCGCCACAAATTAAACCAGGGCATGTATCAAAAGCTCAAAAAGTTCATCATGAACAAGCGTAAAAGGGAGGCTGAAGGTTAGTCATGACGCAGTTGTGGCGCATTTTTCCGCAGAGCGAGCACAAGATGATTACTACAAACGGCTGAGAAAGGAGCGCGAGGAACGTAAAAGGCAGACAAAACTGTTTGCCGAGTCTCTAGAAAATACACGCAGAGAGGTGCGTTTTTGCGTTTGTTTTTA